CGCTCAAACAAGGCAGCAGCCATGATTCCCTTAGACGAGGATAGGACAGATCACAGCTCACACACCGATTACCAGAACTACGCACAGTAATTGTCCAGTCCTATCGACCGCTGACCTTGTAACCTCGAGTCCCCCAAGGCTCCTGAGTTTGGAACGTCTGATAGAAGAGTGAAGCGGCGGGGACTTACGCAGTTCCCCAACCTGCAGGATCTCACAGAGCATCTTGGTGAGCTCAATGGCGCTGCGGCCGAAGGGGCACTCGTGTTTGTCCTCTCGGCTGCTGTTCTCCAAGACGATCTGTGAGGACAGAGGGAGGGGGGATTAGGGAGGCAAGAGATGTAGCAGGGCTGAGCCAGCTGGCCCCCAGCCTTTACCCGGATGTAGGTGTCCTGATGGACTTTAGCCAAGTACAGCATGTTGTCCAAGGCCAGCATTCCAGGAGGAGTCTGGGTAAAGTCCATCGCTGGGTTGATGTGGTTCTGGGGAAATAAAGAAACCCAATTTGAGACTCGGTAGCCTCACGTGTGCAGAGCCACTGGCGGGGAAGCCCTACTGCCCTCCCCTCGATGACACTAGCTCTTGTGCTCACCTCCTTCCTTCCCGCCATCTCTACGAGACTGGGAGCCCCTGACTCTGACTGTGCGGACTCATCCTGTCTCCCCAGAGCCCAGCACGCCATGCCCCGAGGAGGCAGGTGCACAGTGAGTATTTAATTGAATGAACTTCATCCTCAGGCTTTGTGTCCAATCACAAAATAGCCACTCTTGCATTTCAAAGAACCTAGCTGCTGCGGTGAGAGGTCCTCTCTTTGTCTATGTGACTGACCTCCTGGGCCTTCCAACAGAGAGATTCGTTCCCCGGGGCCAGATGCTGCACAGAAATGTGTAATCTGCCGTCACCAAGGCAAACCAAGCATCAGCCCCCCGCCCCCACCAGCCTCTCGATGTCATCTGTTCCAGGACCTCCATTATGAAGGGGGGCTTCTCAGGGCTCTGTGATGGTGGGCCCTCTGACCTCCTATCAGGGGAGAAGGCCTATCAAGATCCGTGCTTTGGGAAACTTACTGTAAACCCCAGCATTTTGTAGTCCTTGGTGTACATGGCTTTGCGTTTTTCAGTCCCACTCCCGGGGACGTTGCTAGGGTCAGACTCTGCATCAAATGCGATCCTCCTCAGTTCAAATATAATGTCTCTTTGAGCCTGAGAAGTCAAACAGACAGTCAGCAGGTGAATCAGCTAACCCAGGGAAGCAAGGAAAAGAAAGAGCAGGTCGGACTTTTCTGCACAGAACTCGGGCCCCGATCAATCCCTGAGAAGGCATCACCTCTACCTTGGCAGGACAGAGGTGGGCTTGGCCCAGAGAGTCACCCAGAGGGAAGCGATCGCAGGGAGGCAGAGCCAGGTTTCCCAGGGCAACACAAGCCATTTCTGCAGACACAATCAAACACCGTCCCTGGCACACAGTAGGTGCTCAATGCATGGCCTAATGGTGGAATGTACCACATCAAACAATACATGATTTAAGCCAGGAGAGCTCTGTCCCACTGAGCACTTACCTGGTCATTGGGGTCCATCTTGGTCATCATCCTTTCTTCCAGAAGGTTAAAGGTCAGGACTTGCAGGACATACAGCTGATGGGCCATCTCAGTTTTGATTGGGCGGTTCCCTCGGATCACATGCTGTAAAAAGTAAAGGCAGGGGGCAGAGGGCTGAACTGATTTTCTTCTGCGGGAGAGTCACATCCATGCTGGTGAAAAAGAAAGTATGCTGGGCAGGGAACAAGGTTTCCCTCTCACACTCAGAACTTCGAGACTTCGTGTTCTGGAAGGGATGGAGCATGAAAGGGCTTGATTCAGGGTGAGATGATTCACTGCAGGCCCAAAGGGCACAGTCTCTTTCTCTGCATTCCCCTGGGCAGGGAAAGTGGAACCAAGGGTGGAGGCTGTACCCAGCCACGCCAAAGATGAGGGAGGCTACCCGGCTAAGATTACGATGCAGGTCGGGGCGCCTGGGTGGCTCCGTCGGTTAAGCTTCTGACTCCCGGTTTCGGCTCAGGGCATGATCCCACAGTTTGTGAGTTCAAGCCCTTTGCAGGGCTCCGCGCTGACAGTGCGGAGCCTGCATGGGATTCTCTCTCTGCCCCTCCCCCACTCACACAGACATGCTCTCTCCCTCTCTCAAAATAAGTACGTTAAAACTTATTTAAAAAAAGATTATGAAGTAGGGCTCGGCAGTGGGACTTTCCCCCAGTTGGGCACTCAATCCAAGATGAGGGACAGCGTGTAGAGGACCCCACTCTGTCTTTCTTTAGAAAAACACAATGGTGTGGATGGCCTCACCAAGTACAGGCTTTAGGAAAGGTCATTTTCTTCAAATGGTACAGAGACGCCTCCACAAGGAGGGCACCTAATGCTCCTTGTCTACGCCCAACACTCCCACCACCTTCTCTCCTGTCATTCTCTATATGCCCTCCTCCCTATATCCCCTGTGTTCTGTCCTGTCCCCTCTCTTCCCATGACCTCCACCATGCCCTCTCAGTCCATCACTACCTCCCTTCGTCCATCTGACACCCACCCCACTTCTTTCCTCATGCCCCACCTTTTTCTTGCATGGTACCTCTCCCTGTGTCCCTTGGGTTGACCAATGCCTCTCGACGTTCTTGTCTCCTACGGTCCGGCTCTCACTCTCCCAATGGCTGCCCTTTCTCACTCGCTCCCCTGTATTTCTCGCTCCTCCTCTGTCTTACCCGCCATCTTGAATCCAGTTGTTCCTGGTCTCTCCTCACCCAAATGAGACTCCTGCCCAGTTCCCCCCACACGCTACCTCTGTGTCCTCTATGTTCTCTCACTCAGTCTAGCCCTATGTCTCTGGAGCTCTGCTGTCCAATATGGTAGCCCCTCGCCACATGTGTTTCCGTCAGTTAAAATTAATTTGAGGTAAAAATTCGGTCTTTGGTCACACCAGCCCCATTTTAAGCTCGACGGGCGTATGTGGCTAGTGGCTACCACCCAATGAGAAGAGTAGATATAAAACAGTGCCATTAGCACAGAAAGTCCTAGCAGACAGCACTGCTCTAGAGTTCTGTAACTCGAGAGCCTACTCTGGCTCGAGATCAATGTCTTAGGCTTGTGATGTCCATTGAACACTGGAAACATGGCTGGTCCAAACTGAGATGTGCTGTGAATGTAAAATGTACGCTAGATCTCAGCGCCTTAGCGTGAAAAAAGAAAAAAAATATTTCATTAGTCGTTTTCTATCGATTACACGTTGAACGCATAGTATTTTGGATATATTGGGTTAAACCGAATCTACCGTTGAAATTGACTTCCCGTATTCCTTTTTTAATGCTGCGACTACAGCATTTAAAACGAAATCAGTGGCTCTCACTGTCATTTCTACGTGACGGCACTGCTCTAGACTTCCTCTCCCCGGCATGTGACTCCCGGGTGCTCTTCATTCCTCTAGATCTGCCCAGCTCAACGCAGCAGCCACAAGCCACGTGTGGGTGTTTTAACTGAAATTTTAGAAAATGACAAATTTGGCTCCCCAGTCACAACTAGACACGTTGCCGGGGCTCAGTATCCACACGCGGCTAGTGGCCACCATTCCGGACGGCACGTTCATGCTGCGCAAGGTTCTGCGGACGGCGCTGCTCCTGACCTCTCACTGGAGCGAGTGCCGAGGCCCCCACCTCCTCCGAGCAGGGGCTGTCTGCGGCTGTCTCGAGCTCCCAGGCTCTCGGCTCAGGCTCAGTGCTCACCTCTATCCCAAACTGACTGCCGCTCCTCCTTCTCCAACCTTAGCTACCCGCCCACCCCCACCAGTGTCTCATCGCGCAGGGTCCCCTTGGTCCCCTCCACATGTCTTGTTTTGCCCCTCTCTGAGCCTCTTCCCTTCTCTGTGCCCCCTCCCTCTGCCGCTCCAATTCCTCCCTACCCTACCCGGCTCTCCGTCTTCCTTCCTCCTCTCCTCTCTCCATAATTCATAAAACCACTTTGAGAAGAGGCTAAAGATAATGTGATACGGTTCTCATTCACTTTAATCCCCCTTTCTCAAACTTAGAGACATCACAGCAGGAAGGTAATCACTCCAGCCAGCAACGAGCTTACGCAAGTACAGCCCCAGTCTGAGGAGTCAGCTTCAGAGCTTTTACCTGGAGTCTTATTTGACTGCTGAGTAAATTGAGGCTTACGCTCTCTGGCCTGACTCAGTGAGCTCCTTGGACTTCAGTGAGCACGCATTAACTGTTTTGTAGAGAACCACTGAAGTCCTGAGTCTTGACCCTGAATTGTCTTCTATAGTGGAATCTTCGCTTGTCCCAAGGTTTGTCCAGAAATGAGCTGAACTAATCCTACTCTGGCAATTAACAAGCCTCGAGATTCATTAAATTTCTGTCAGAAGGGGACCCTCGCTCCCACGCATGCAGAGGATGGCGTCCAACACAGCTGCTCAGGAATGTGGACAAGCATGCGTGGGACCCGTGCACGCCGCATCCCTCGCAGGCAGCGGGCCGCAGCGTCGTCCCTCCTGCCCGAGTCCCTCCGTGGCGGTGGGGCCACGACCAGGGAAACGGCCAGCAGGCAGGAGCTGGTTCTGCAAGGTGAAGTCTGGCGGGCTGTTCAGAGCAGCCGATCGCTCAACTTTGCAAGTGCTCAGAGCTCACTTCTTGAATTCTCTCACCTTTGGATCCTGTTCACGGGTAAGAGAACCCGCTGTGAGCGGGGTGCTTACCGAGTGCCAGGCACCCTGCTAAGAGCTGTATATATATATATGAGCTCGTTCAGGCCTCACATCCAGATGAGCAAATCAAAGTAAATCGAAGTTAAGTGAATTGCTCAAGATCACAGATTGCTTAATGGTAGAGTGGAGGCTGGGGACTCTGAAGTTCACGCTCAGAATTATCAAGCCTTTCACACCTGACTTCTGATTTCTCATTTTATTCCCTTCACTGTGGTCTGGTTTTCCCTTGGTTTTGACAACTGATAAAATGGCCTCCCCTGCACCCAGATCCTCGGCTCACTTCCCCAGTTCCCACCCCCCAACCCCAGCCAGCTCTCTCTCACCCACATCCCTGCGTGGGAACAGGGAGTCAGCCCTCTTTCCAGATGCCTCCCTCCTCACCACCTCCCCCTCTACTCTCCTCCCTCATATACCCCCACGAAACATACACACCTGCTAGTGTGAGGTTTCTAAATGCCAGCCTGGTTATGTCACCATCCCAATTAAACCCTTCAACTCTGCTTGGGAAAAAGACTAAGGTCCTACTCGATCCGGTCTTTGCTCGCTCTCCACGTGTCTGCTCCTTGCCCCACCCTCTACCCCATGGCACAGTCCTTCTAGGTTCCAGCCAATTCCAGCCACTCCCGGCTGGATTTCCTTTCCTTCCTGGACGAATGATGGAGCCTCAGCCTCAGGACGTCATTCCTCCAGAGGCTTCCTGACACCTCCTGCAAGGCAGGCGGTGCTCCTCCTCCTGAAATCCCCAGACCATGGAGCTCCAAGGAACCACTGGCCACACACTGCTAGAGCACCATCCCTACTGGACCGGAAGATCTCTGGGAGCAAACACACCACACTGTCTCGTTCATCCCTAGCGGTGCCCCACACAACTCAGGTCTGATGGATGTTAGCTGAAAGAATCCCTTTCCTCTTTGGGGCCTATTTTGACACATTCCTTCTGGAAAAAATTTTGGAATTGCAGGGCAACAAACCGTGTAGCTGGCTGGCCTCAGGACCTCCTTAGAGGCTCTGTAATTCCTGGTGGGACAGCCTCCTAGAGACAACTCTGCTTGCAGAGGATTATAAGAAAAAGCTTCCCAGCTTAATATGGGCTTATTCGCACCTACCCGTTGGTTCCCCGAGTGCCATCCCACTCGATAGTAATTTCACTAATGACACCATCACAGTAACAGTAATACTTGCTATCGCTAGTAACAAAACACAGCTTGTTGTGGGAACTTACATTCAGGATTATGGAGCGAAGGTGCTTCTGTGCAAATGCGTTGGCCATATCCTATTGAGAAAAACAAGCAAATGTAAGGCACGATGGCACGCGCCCAGCTGTGACAACTATCGAGAGGAAAGTGGCATCGGAGCTCTGCGGCTTTTTCTCTTAAATTTTTTTCTCCTTTCAAATAAAAAGTGGGCAAATGGAAAGAATCCGTGGACCCACCCAACATCTTTTATACTCTGAAAAAACTCCCTTGTGTTTTTTTTTCCCTCTGGGAATGCAAACGGAGCCACACAGGGTGTCCCTCCCCGATGGCACAATCAACCACATCGTCCTCAAAGAGGAACAAAGACTGCTTCAGGACAAGACACTTGTGTTACGAGGATGCCGGGCAATGGACAATGCGTACGGAGCACAGAGCAGCGTGATGGTTCCCATGCACCGTTCCAGGCAGACACACACCACCGGCCGGATGGGCCTCCTCCAAGCTGAGGAAAGGGCTTCGGTCCCAGCGCCCCCCTCGGGCCCCCCAGCGCCGCACCAGCTGGTGGAGCCGGGGAGCGGATGCTCTGGAACAGTGAGTAGTCTGTGGCTCACTTCTGACTGCTTTGGAGAAGAGCGTGCTGGTGCTTTTGGGTAATTTCTCATAATAGGGTCACCTTTTTTATTATATTTGGTTCAGATTCTGACAGTAACACTTTATTTATTTGGCACGCTCGGGAAATAAAGTATCCCCCATAAATGAGTCTTCCGGGGAGCGAAGCCTTAAGGGTCCTTTCAGGACCTTACTGGGACCGTTCTTAAGCAAATCCTCTGAAAATATATACGTTTCTTTATTTTTGAAGGGACTGCAACGATTATAATTTAATCACTGCCAAGGACTGGGCTCAACAAAAAGAACAGCGTGTTGTGACTCCGTAATAGCCCAAGGAGCTCTTGGATGTGCCGCTCTTTCCCCCTAAACAAAAATGGTCCCAGCTTACTGTGCTTTTAATCTTTCTGACAGCTCTTCATAGTTCTTCTGTCTCCTCCTTCCAATCTCGGCCATCACTTCTTAGCACGTTAATTAGCATGACTTCACTTTCTAAACTGCTGCCTTAATTTAATTTTATGGATAATTCTGAATCACTGGGCCTGAGGGAGCTGTCACGCCTCTCCCACGGAGCGGTGTCTGTGAGGGTCTCATTTGTCTCGGAGCTGAAAGGCCTTTTGCTCTCGCTTCTCCATTTCTAGCCATATTCCAAATGGCTGACGCTGCCAGGGACATTAAGCTGTACTTTGCTTCCCCTGAGCACACACGCTGGCTGGCAGAGAAGAAGGTGGCCTAGAAGCTTCTCTGGTGGCTAGAGGAGGTCGGCTTGAGATTTGGCCTTGCTGTGGACAACTCACAAAGCGGGTAAGTGGCAGTGGTCTGCTCCCAGAATGTAACGGCCTCACACCCAAAGCTCCTCTGCGGTGCTGGGGCAAAGCGCTCATTCTCAGCCTCGTACAGCCGACCTCTAAAGCTCCCTCTAGCCAAGAAGCGAGCAGGCAAATTCCCTTCTGTCAACTGTCTTAAACCCTGTCAGATTCCTACGGTCTAGGACGCATCCAGGGCGACGTGGATTTATCTTCACTCTCTGCTGTACCAAGCTGGAAGGCGACACGTCCATGGGATCATCTCGGCGAAAGTCTCAGGCTATTTCCGAATCTGATCTCCCCGGGCTGACCCACAAACTCACAGAAAGGCAGGTTACAAAGGGAAGACTGGGCAGCATTCCCTAGGGCGGACATCCCCTCACTCCTGCACGTGACGCTAATCTCCAGCACTTCCCGGAGTGTTCTGACGAACGGGATCTACAGCACCCAGAACTCTGGGTCTCACGGTTTCCTGAGCACCTGCACCAGAACGTGAGGTTCTTGCCCAGCTCTGACCTCCCCACCTGGAAGAGGGCTGGGGCCCCTTCCACGAAGCAGCACTACTTACAGTGGCAGGTAGGTCTAGAGGGTTAAGGTGCTTGTCCTGCCGGCAGAAAGCAAAAAGCACAGAGAGAAGCAGATGGGAGAATGAGCTCACATTCAAAACTGGACTAGGAAGGAAGAGATTAACAGAGCAAAGCCATCCGAGAAAGACGAGGACAGACGGAACCATGGACGCTCCGGCTCCTCCCACCGGAACCCACCAGGAGCTCAGTGCCTGAACCCACGTGGATTTCAACTTTATAGAGCCCGTGGTGTTGACGGAGAATTTTAAAGTCTTGTATACACCACTTGGGCTTTTCCCAGCTGTATCTAGAGTGTCAGTGTCGGAAGGGCCCTTAGCGATCACTTAATCTGGCCCTTTCATTTACAGAAAGAGCAACGGAGACCCAGAGGTTAAAGCACCTGCCCGGCCCAGAAGAGCACCTAGCCTCAGGGCCCCGGACTCAGGTCAGTGCTCGTTCCCCGCCCAGCTGATTCCTGGTTTCCTCACTTGTAAGACAGGGGTCTTGTTTCTTCTCCTCACATCCCCGTGAAGTCAACGGGGCAGATGTTGCCGCTCCCAGGTTACAGATGAGGAAACTGGGGTTCAGAGAAGCAGAGTGATTTGCATTATGTCACACAGCTAACGAGCAGGGGAAGAAAGCAGCTTAGAATCTGGGCCAGAGGCCTTCATACATGAAACTTTGTGCGAAGTCCCCCCGCTCCCGCCCCCCCCGCCTTGCTTCCTTAAGTAAGGGTCTCCGTGGACTTGACAGTGATGCCTGGAAGGTCTCCTCCCCCTTCTTCTTGACCCTCTAAGCCAGGGTCAGCAACTAAGACCAAACTGGGCTTGTCCCCTAGTTGTGTATCTAAGGTCTTTCTGGAAGACACCACACCCATTTGCTTTCCTATTGTCTGAGGCTACTTTGGCTATGACGACAAAGTGGGACAGCTGCCACACAGACCATCGGCCCACAGAGCAAGAAATATTTACTCTCGGGCCCTTTAGAGGAGAAAGTTTGCAGGCCCCTGCTCTGATGTGAGACCCGCGGGGTCCCCTTCTAGTTCTTCCCTGGAACTAGGGGGCCTGACACACAGGGACAGGAGCAAGGGACTCTTGGGGGAAATGGCTGCATTTCTGCTCTCCGTGCAGTGAAGGGTAGGTGGGTGACAACTCCTCTCCTGGAAGAGCCCAGATGAAAAGCTTGAAAACAGCCACAGACCTGTCGCTTGTCCTCAGGAGCCTTCAGGAAAAGCGCGTTAATCAGTGCAATGGCGTAGGTCTGAATCTCCTGGTTGGAGCTGTGCCGGTGGAGAAAGAAGGCAGAGGGACATTAGAAGACGGACCAGCGAGAGCCCCGTGGGGCGTTTACAGCAGTCGCTCGTAGATGGTCATCAAATAATCGTCTGGGGTGAAGCCTCAAAAGCCTCGAAAGTGGGCATACTCTGTGACCCGGCCACTCCACTAATAGCAATTTATCCAAAGACAGGAATCAGAGAGTTGGGCAAAGTGTTTCATTCAAGTACTGTTAAAAAAAAGAAAGAATGGCAAATAATCCAAATGTTCACAGTCACAACTCTGTTTATACACATTCAAGCCGTAAGTCATCAATAAAAATCACGTCGGGAAGGTTCTTCACCTGGGACTCGGGGATGAGTCTGGAGTGTCTGTAAACCCTAGAAATGGTGCAGAAATTATTCCATGCGGTCGGTTGACTATGTGTTATTTTCTCCAAGGAGGTGAGAGTCTATAACTGTTACTGAATTTTCAAAGGCATATGGCATGCAAAAAAGATTTAGAGCCACCAAGACTCTTTAACATGGGGAAACGCTCAAGAGATATTATTTCATAAGAACGTCAAGGTACACACAGTATGTGTAGTAAGCTCCCAGTTTTGTTAACAAAAACATACACAGAAAAAAAGACGAGCAGGGCAGTTAATTTAACGTGAACAGTGGTTATGTCTGCAGATGGGAAAATGGGAAAAGGATTGACTCTTTGTGTTCCTCCCTATTTTCAAAGTCTTCAACTACAAATTTATTTCATTTTGTTTATTTTTTATTTTGGGGGGAGAGAGAGAGAGGGCGCGCACGAGCCAGGGAGGGGCAGAGGGAGAGAGAGACTCTTAAGCAGGCTCCACGTTCGCACAGAGCCCAAGGCACGGCCCAATCCCATGACCCTGGGATCATGATCTGAGCCAAAACCAAGTCGGATGCTCAACCAGCTGAGCCGCCCAGGCGCCCCCTAAACTTATTTCATTTTAATACGAATGAATTAAAGACAACCGTTCTCTGGAATCTTATAATCCAAGCACTTGGCAAAATGTCTCCAAGGGCCGCACTGGGGATGCATTCCGTGGCTCTCTTCTTAGACGGGCTAACAGACTTCCTGCTCAGGTGGGGTGGGTGGGTGGGGGCATCCTGGAGGTCTCACGGAGGGCACTAAGTATCTCTCAGCCCCAACAGCAGAGGACATAATTTCTGGTAGTAGCTACGGGCTGAAAATATTCACGGACTGACCCCTAAGAAATGCCATTGTCCTCTATCATCCTTGGGTACACAACTGGGTCATTCCTGATTCAGAAACAAACAGGTAAGTCTGACGTCAGGAAAATCAGAACTCTCCATCTGGAGTTTATAATGTTCCCTTCACTTCAAACAACCTTTTGGCTTTGGGGTATGAAAACAGAGACTAAAGAATTCCTTAGAAGTGACAAGGAGAAATCGGGGCTGTTGGCGGGAGGGTGGGGTGGGTACAGGTTGGGAGCACAGCTGAATGAAGACAAGGCTGCTATAAATAAGCAAAGCTGGGAGCTCTGGCTTCCCCGGGCCTGACAGGTCGTTCTGTCGGCACTCTGTCCATGCCCAAAAGGCTAAAAGGGAACAAAGGAGTCAATAGTATCACCACCTTGTTTTGGGGAGTCCAGCCCCCGTAAATAGGGTTAAAGTGAAGTACAAAGAATGGGGAGGAGAGGAACGGGGCTCCAAAGGGCTCATCTGTCTTCTGGTTTTACCATTTGACAAGATGGCCTGGAATGGGATAAGCTTCTTCAAAAACAAACAAGAACAAAAAAGTCCTGAATTATATACCCATCCTACGCTGGCCACTATGCTAGACCTTCTAACCCCTTTGAGCCTCACAAGTCTGAGTAATGGAGAAGGTGAACCCAGCCTGGACCTGAGGACATGGAGACCAGATGGGACAAGGTGACATGTGGAAGGCAGAGACCTAGTTAGGACACAGTGGAGCCGGGATCTGAATGGAAAGCCCGAACTCGTGTCCTGTACAATAGTTTTTGCTACCCTCCCCCCGGCCCCACACACACAGCATACTGCTAGTTTGCTAAGTGTTCATTCTCAAGTATGAATTGACTTCTCCTTAAACCAAAGCAAGGGATCCAAAAAGGACCGGTCCCTCTTCCCAGAGAGCTCAAAGCTTAAAACGGGAGGCGGATAACAAAAACAGGGGATTTTCTATACAATTCTCATAGGTGCAAACAGAGACTATTTGGCCCAAAGAGGAGAGAGCATCTAATTCTGTCTGGGACGCGGCGGTACAGGGAGGCCGGGAAAACTTCCCTTCAGCCTGAGGGACAAGGGGCGCCGCGGAGGACTGCGGCAGGAGCGTGACACGATCGGGGCCCGATCCCGGGAGCGTTCCCAGAGTGTGAAAGTGCTGACGAATGAGTGAACAAGCAGGCCAGTGGTTTGGAACACAAGCAAAGGGGTAGGGCTGGGAGACCTACGGAGAATAAGAGGCGAGAAGGGGGCCGGGGCGGGGTCTCTTACTCACACCTGGAGGTGAGAGATGAGCTGTCCCACGGTGATTTCCTCTGCTATCTTCTGGTACAGGCTCTGGCTGTTCAAGACCATGCTCTCCAGGATGGCCAGGGACCTCTGAAGGATTGACACGTCCACCATGGGCTGGCTCACGTACCCTGCAATCTACAGCCAGCGAGGGCCAGATCAGTCAGGGAGCCCGGGGCCCAAGCATGCCGGGCGACTCGAGTCTCTGAGGTCAGCCCACGAAGGCTCTCCTTCCTGGTATGCCATCCATACCGGGCCACTGTCCCCATGTGGACAGCGGTGTCTGGTTTATGGTCCCTAGGCATGGACAATTCAAATTCAAACAACAGCTTCCAGTCAACTGTGTTTCCTCAAAATCTAAGGGCTCGATCCTTTGTTTTCAAAATGAGGGTTCAGGCATGGGAAAGCTGAGTGGAGAAAGCACAGGATCTTACTGAAATCGGGAACTCCTTTCATCGCCATGGGCCCTTCTCCTGACACACACACTGTGCCCCTACACACACACAGGCCGGCAGAGGCTCAAGAGGCAGGAAGCCCGCAAAGTCTTGTAAGCTCATCACTCCCCGTTATTCTCAACCTCCATTATGATGTCCGCGACACGTGCCCATTTCACTTTTGCCTAACTATCTCCGGCATCAGGAAATTCCCAATGTCCCAAGCCAACGACAGGTGTGATTCTAGGTCAGCAGATACATTACTCATTGGTTTTAGTTCACTTTTTGGAAGTGACGCTGCCCCTCCCTACAGAACAAAGGAAAGCCAAAGCATGCCCTCCCAGGCACCCAGGTCGATCTGACAACCCGAGCAGGTTGCCTTGCAGACCCGCCGGCAGGAGGCAGACTGACATACAAGGCGGACGACATGAACATGTGTCTCCAAAGAGAAGGGAGCGCGCAGGGAGCAGGTCAGAGACGCCGGGCTCGTACTGGCTGACCGGCTGGTGTCGTCCCAGGTCTCACTGACAACCCCGTCCTGCTTTGGCCACCTCCAGTTCTGGGAGCCCCGTTTCCATCTTCGAGGGCAATGAAGGAATTCTCTCAGGAGCCCCAGGAAGGCCCGAGCGTGAGGATAAAAAAAAACGGGCCTCGGGGATAGAGAGCCGACCGCCAGCAGCACGGCGATCTCGCCGGCATCTCTCCGTGAACCTAGAGGACAGCGGCCACTGACGGGGGCGGGGAAGACGGAAAGCCGGAGGCCTCACCTGCTTGATGAAGGTGATGGAAACCATGTCCCAGGAGACAATGCCATGGTCCATGAGCTCTAAGAAGGCGGTCAAGGTGAATGCCAGCATCTCACTGTAGCTGAGACATCAACAACACACACACAAAATAATACAAAGATTCAGAACCAGGGAACACAGTTGTGACGGCAGCCGCAACGGGGACGGATCCCGGCGTCAGCGCCACACCAGGGGTCAGGCGGTGTGGCTGCGAGTGCCTGCATGCGTGCCTCGGCAGGTGTGCAGCAGGTTCCGTCCAGGTGTCCATCCGTCTCTGGGAAGGGCCGCTGCGGGTCAGGCTCTCCTTCCCCGTACTGCCTCATCTCAGGGAAACACAATCACTCATCCATTTCCCAACCCGAGAAAGCTATCAGACCTTTGTCAACCCCAACACTTGGTGGGGGTACCCAAGGGAGCCCACGGCCCGTGTCCAGGGCCAAGGGGGGGCAGAGTGCAGGACAGGGAGTACAAACTTCAGACATGGGTTCAATCCTGGTCAACTATTTACTAACTGTGCACATTTTACCTTTCCAAACTTGAAATTCCTCCTCTGTAAAACCGCACTGGTCTCACAGCGTTAACATCACAGGGCTGTGGCGAGGGCAAGAGGACAAGGTATGCGAAGCCCTTACCGCAGTGCTGGAGGAGGACAGGGATTACAATGTCTTCTCTCCTGTGTCCCTCCTCTTTCTACACACAACCCTTTATACATCTGTACGGTGCTCTCGATTTAACAAACGCTGTTCCCAATGGCGAGGCACGTTCGGACCCATTAATGCCTCGTGACAAGACGGCAATGGAAGCAGCATCTCCGTTTTAAAGAGGAGGAAACCAAGGCCAGCCAAATGCCGTACTCCCGGCAGACTGCGGAAGTCCTGGGCCAGCGCTGATGGCAGCGGAAGGCTTCAGGATTTCAGTGCAGCTGCAAAATCGGAGACTTAAGACAAACACCCATGATTAGCTGCTTGGTTTGGCTGAAAATTTCAATAGCTGATCCATCGGCTGAAAGATTTCTGACTCCCTCTCTGCCAGCTGAGGCACCACAGGCCTAGACGGCTAACTAAACACCTGTTCGTTCACTGCTGCTCACGGCGCGGTTCCCCACCACTCCCGTCCTAGCAGGGAGATGGAAAATTGCGGAGCTTCGTCTCCCCGTGACAATGGGTGGGGGGGAGATGGCGAACACAGAGGAAGGCCTGTGTGTGTGCACGTGTGTGTAAGTGGGGAGGCGACTGGAAAGGGGAGAGAGGAAGCAGGGGGTGATTACGAACAGACCCCTGTTCTGGTCAATAATGGACAGTCTGCTCACTAGCCTCCCCCAGGCCAATCATTTTCCATAAATTAACAGGTTTGTCATGAACCGACTTTTCTCTTCCTGACTCCTGAAGCCCCTGTTCTCGCTCCTTCGCATCTGTGAGAGCCCAGCTAGACTACGAGACTGAGGACCGTGACGGTGCATTCCTCTGTGCAGACCCTAGTGCTTGGCACGCTGCTCTGCACACACAAGGTGCCCAGTAAGTTCGAGAGGCTCGGTGGAGATGAGGGAAGGATGCCCCGCCGAGCATAGAGTCTCTGAAATCCCGAGCAAGAGCCCAGTAATACTCACTGGGACAAGAGCTTGGTTCCACTCTCCACAAGCCGCGTCAGCACCACGATGCCGTCCATGTTGATGAACTCGGTGGCGAAGGTCACGTCGGCAGAGAGCTTGGCCAGCTCCTTCATGGCATCCAGCCGGGCCTCCATGTTGGACGACTGGGTCCTCTCCATCAGCTGGCGTGCAGCCCGGGACTACGAGACCAGAGACAAGATGTGTGCCATCTGGTCCTCGCGGCAGGTTACCGCTCTGTGAGTAGCTCATGAAGGCCTTTCTGTGGCCATCCAGCCCGAGGCAGACCCTGTTGTTGACACTGTCTAGGAGTTGCTTACTACATGCTTATTGGATCAATCAGGAAATTACCAGTATGCCAAGACCGATCTGTAGTTACGGGTATCCTTTCTGTAGCACTCTGGTCTATGGATTACAAAAACTTCCCAGTGAAGGACTACAAGAGACACTGAGGAGACAACAGTCGCCACCTCTGGCAGACAGAGAAACAGATATTGGCTCAACAGAGGGAAGTTTTCTACTAATTTAAGCCGTCAGCCAGTAGACGACGTTGTCTCTCGATGTAATGAGCTCTCAGTCACCAAAAGCAATCAAGGAGAATCTGGACAACCGGCTGGCCAAGATGCCGCACAAGGGATTCTTGCATTGATGGAGGATTTAATCTGATGATCCCCTTTAAGGTCCCTTTCAATCTGAAAATGTGGTAAGCCTGACAATTTCTTTTTTTTTTAACCTTCTCGGTAAGTCCGTATCATTGTTCTTCAAAACTGACAGTCCTGGGGAAACTTTAAGAGTATCAAGGAGCTGGAAGCTTTCAAAATAGCTTTTTCAAAGTGATGGCTGGTGACTAAGCTTTCTCCTAGCCCACCAACTTTTCCCAGCAGGTTGCTTGCCTCCTTTCGGACAAGCTTCAGCCATAAGCCCTTCCCCAGTGTTCGCTGGTCCTTCCTCTTGCTGAACTTACTAGCTTTATAGTCAGTGCCTTGCAAGTGACCGACTCATCATTCTTGATTTTTTGTGTGCTAATTCATATTCTCAGCTGGAATGGAAGAGCCTTGAGAGCAAAATGCTCTTGGGGTCTTTACAGTGCTAAGCAAGTGACCGCAGCCCGGCTCCTGCTGCTGGCAAAAGAGTCAGGCCGGTTCACCTCTCTCCCCTCTGCCTTTCCTCTTTTATTCTTACAAAGACAGCCCTAGAGCAGCACACGGCTCTCAAGGACACAGAAATCCTCCACACTCTCCATAGCGGAGAAGGCGCACGCCACGAGAAAAGGTCACAGGATAGAACAATTTGAAGAACACTGGTCTGCATCACACTTAGAAACTTCCAACTCCAAATGTTAACGTTCCTCCTGAGACAGCGTTTCTGGGCCGCTGCCTCCTGCTCCAGAGAGATGTACTCCCGAGAAAGTCAACTAGTCTGCGCAGGAGGTCTGTAAAACGCTTCAGCACGTCTGCGAAAGCAACTCCCGGGCTGTCACGTTAAGCTAGCAGAGCTAAGGGGGGAAATGAAGTCCTTAAGATGAGAAGAGTTCGGGAAGGGGGGGCGGGGGAGCAGGAGAACGTGCTGGTGAGAATACGGGCAGGGAGTCAGAGAGCCCTGGGTTTGAGAGGCATCTCCGCCACGTTTTTATCTGTGTGACAAGCGGCAAGTCGTTTAACCTAAGCCCCAGTTTGCCCATCTGCAAAATGGGGCTGCCAGGAGTACCCGTCTCATCGGGTGTCTGTCGAGGTTAAATGATAGCACGTATGTAAAGCGTTCAGCAGAATGCCGGCATTCCGGAACCCTTAGCTGTTACTACTCCGCATCGCTTTTCTGCGCAGACGGACCAGAGTCGTCCCTCACCAAGAAAACACGTGTCATCATGCCCTTAATTTTCTGGCAGCCCTTCTCCACCTAAGCGACCCCCATGCCTGACTGTCCTCCTTGGGGACTGAGCAGTCGAAAATCCCTCCACCTGGGCTTTGGATTCCTCCTGTCCTGACCCAGTAAGGTCCCGGTCTGTTTGCACCATCGACCTTCCTCTCCCATCTTAGCTTATTCTCGAAGACACATAAAAAAAAATTGCACCAGCAGTTAGCAACTGTAAAGGGTGGAGGAGGTGGGGAACTAGGTAGATGAGGGACAGGGCAGGGAGGGAGACCTTTCACTGCATCTTTGTCAAACTTTTTGATTTTTGAAACACATGAATGTTTTACCCCTTTAAGAAGTTTTTTTTTTTTTAATGTTCATTTATTTTTAAGACAGAGACAGAGCACGAGTGGGGGAGGGGCAGAGACGGAGGGAGACACAGAATCTGAAGCAGGTTCCAGGCTCCGAGCTGTCAGCACAGAGCCCGATGCGGGGCTCAAAGCCACAAACCGTGAGATCATGACCTGAGCTGAAGTCGGACGCTTAACCGACTGAGCCACCCAGCGCCCCTGTCTTACTCCCTTTTCAACAGCATTCTCTTTTGGGCTCCACATCCCCGAGTTCTTGCCTTCTGTGTCTACTTCCTCTTATGACCGAGCTTCCTGACAGCGCGGTAAAGTCACGGACCTCACTCTGCTGCCACTGCAGTCTGTCTGTCACCCATCACCCCACCAAAACTGTCTTCGCAGAGGCCACCAGGGACCAATGGGCTTCCCAGATCAACAAACGGCTTTTCTGTTCCCGGTTTTCTTGCTCTCTGCTCACTGCAGACCATACCTTCCTCTGTCCCGACACTCCCTGCCCTCAGCTCCTAAGCCACTTCCTGCTCCTGGTTTTCTCTCTGCCCTTCTGGTTGCTCCCTTGGTTGCCTTTAAGGGCCACTCTGGCAGGAATCGGGGAGTCACCTCAAATTCTCCCTTTTCCTTCCATATCCGGGATGTCACCACATCCCCTGGTTCACCTCTAAATATTTCTCATGCCTGTCCTTCCGTCTCCACTGTCACTTGCCTTCACGGGCTCATTAGCTTCTTAAAGATTCCTCCTACCACCAACCTTCCTTTTTTAGCCCATCTTTCACACTGTCACTAAAGTGATCTTCCTAAAATATAAATCTAAACATAATGTACCTTCCTGCTGAAAGTCTTTCAATGTCCCCACGTTCCCTTTCTGCATAAAGTCCAAACCCATGAGTAGGCCATCTGAGACCCCTGCCATCCGGGACCCTTCCAGGTCTGGCTCTCCCCTGGCTGCCGCGGGCCCTCTGCCACCCAGCACCCCCGCCTTCCCCAAAGCACATCCCTCTGCTCGGGATACTTTTCATTTCCTTCTTTCTTCAGCCGATTCTTGCTTATCCTTCAACATCTGCGCTAAGCTTCCCCCTTCTCTGGGAAGGTTTTCTGGGAATCCTTAGGCTGAGCCAGGCGGTCCCTTTCTGAGTCCCCCACAGCTCCCTAAGCAACTTTCTGTCAAGATGTTTAAGAGAGGCCTTTGGTTGTTTACTCCCAACAAGGCTGTGAAAGCAAAGATGGACTTTTTTTTTTTTTTTGTTAAAGTAATATCCACCCAATACTGGGCTTGAACTCACAACCCTGAGATTAAGAGTCGGCTGCTCCACTGACTGAGCCAGCCAAGCGCCCCTCAAAGGTTGACTTTTTAAGCTCTGTAGTCTTGGTTGCTGGAAAAGAGTCAGGCCTAAGGTGGGTGATCATCTAATGTGTTAAATAAACGTCCCCGAGGAGAGCCGAATACCTACCGGGGAGATAGCCAGCTGTAAGATGGTCCCATTCTTAATATCACTGCGCGTCTGGGTAGCAAAGAGGAAAAAAGAGTAGCTGAGATACAATATTAAAATTGTGCAAGCCAGCTGAATCAACGAGAACTTGCTGTCATTTTAAAGTAGTCGTAACTGAGCCTCTTTGGTCAGGCCTCCTTCCACGTGCTTCTTGCCTGAGAACTCAGACCCCGTGTGCCCCGAGCCCTCAGGATGTAGAAGCCATGGTTTTCCAGCCACTAGAGGAAGCAGGGGCTGGTGCGTCCCCAATAAACAGAAGCTGCCCACAGGTCGGCCAGGCCGACAGTGCCACCTCCCTGGGTGGCTCGCTTCCGAGTGAGGCCTGACTTGCTGCTTCGGCACTGACCTGCTCCGTGATGTAGAGCTGGGGGCCGTCTGCATAACGGAGGGTGTAATACTCCGGGTTTGGCAAGGACCACCTGTGTAAGAAACACACAGTACAGACACTGGGCCCTCCCTCCAGGCCTGGCTAGAGGCTGCACGTGTTCATTTCCAGCCCAGCCGCTCAAGGGCTCGGGCGGCCTGTTTGGAGGATGGGGGGATCCCACGGGTTCAGGCGGAGATGCAGAAAAAGCAACTTGCATAAAGATGGGCACCGCGAAAAGGTGGTGTGCGCAATTCGGGGCGGGCCTCGCACCCCGCCAGGACCTCGGGCAGGACATTCTTGGGCTTAAAGGAGGAAAAAAGATTTAGGGGAGCTCTTAGGGACATCCTCCTCAGCTACTTCCTTTGTAACACAATGATCCACAAAAGCCCCATTCCGGGGACGCAACTAACTGGAGACTCCTCTCAAGGTCTGGCAGTGTTCCTACTCACCCGTCACAAACTTCCTTGATGATGGATGCCAGAGGCCGTTTCTGAAAGAGAGAGAGAGATCTTTCACCAGCAACCACATGCTATTCACGCCAAGGTTCTGATGAGGGGCTGCTAAGAAGGATCAACCTGGGCCTTCGTGTGGACTGCCTCCCGGAGAGGAAGCCTCTCCCAAGCCGGGACCAACCTTCCACAGGGCAGGGCGGGACAGGCCTTGACGTTCGTGTTGCTGGTTCTTACTCCTGATGCCAACGGCCCCCACCCCCGAAGACACCCTCTGCCATGCGCTTCCCAGATCCTGCTCCCCGCATCTCTGCTTCTCATTTCAGAGCTTACCTGGTCGATTTCAAGGAGCTGAGCATTAGCACCTGGCCATTCAATGGCTACTTTGACAATGTCTGATGGTGGTGGCATTGTTCCCAATGGGCCCTGTTTCTCCAAGAAACACACACAAACACAGCCGCCTGGAGACAAAGAATCAGAAAGAAGGAAAGAGTCAGAGAGCTTGCCTTCGTTTTCCACTCCTTAGATATTTTGGAGAATCAGAAGACAGATAGTGTCCAAAGTGACACGCCGAACTACTTGGTTGGAATTTTTCTATATCACACTGTAACCTCTCCTTGGGCTTTCTGTCTCTTTAGATTAAATCAGCAAGTAGAAACGGGACAAAGCCTATCCATCAACTGCAGATCAGCCGGGAGCAAGATCTGCCGATGTGACACTTTGGTCTAAGGGTCAGGAGGACTGTGTGGTAGGAGGATGAATTTACTGCAAAATGCCGGCCTTGGGACCTTGAGAGGGAGAAGCATAGGCTCTGAGACAGATAGGAATAGGCAGAGCCTGTTCTCGGTCGAGTGGTTAGCTGAGCGGAGCCAGCCCTTCTGTCTGCAGCCATCCTAGGAAGACCCCCGGTGTCGGCACGGCCCGGCCACACACTCTCTCGCCTCGTCTCTAGTTTCTGCTGCCACTCCTTCCCCCTCAAAGGACACAGTGTGGAGCCTCCTCTGTGTGGGATGACGCAGAGTTCAGAAAACGGGGAAGAGAACTGGGACAGGAAATGCTATTTTAGTCCCTACTGCCAAGGGCAAGGGCTGCTGAGAGCCCAAGTGTGGGGCGGCGAGGACAGCCTCACACAAGGGCCCGTCTCTAGGAGGACGAGGCTCCGGAAGTACCTCTGACCCCCCTCCCCCATGTGTCTCCAAAATGAAGGAAAAGGAATCATTTTGAACAGGTCTGGAAGATGGGCCCATGTGACCGGTATCCTAGGCAACTGCCAGCTTAGTGGTGCTCCAAGCAGTAGTTAAAGCATTTTCTCTCCAAGGTCTGATGAAGGGAAGTCACTCGACTGATGGGTTATTTCCACGTATATTTACATTCCTCACCTACAGGTTCAGGACGGGCCTCTCTCTCGCTTAACGAAAAAAACCTTCCTCCTGCATCCACCGGGCTCAGCCTCTCTCCACAATTCATGCTTCGCTAACGAAGACCGCCCGGCCCTCCCGGAACATGCTAGCTGCTGCTAAGCTGTTATTCACTTATGCTGTCAACTGCTAGGCCCCGGCACAGATGTCAGTTCTCGCAGCCTGGGAAGCACACACTCCTTTGGTGAAAGGGGTCACGGTTCCTTCCCCTACACACCCACGAGTCTCAGAAAGAGGGAAGCTTCCACGACCAATGTCCTGATCGGGGCGGGCTGCTCCAGAAGTCAACTGTCGAAAATACCAGCATTTTCAGGACATGGCAATGGAGAGATGGTTTTCAAAGTGCTTCCACCGGTTTTGCTGAGCCCTCCCAGCAGCCTCAGGAAGTAGGCGGAATCAGATTACTACTCCTGTCTGAAGAGGACCCAACTGGCGCTCAGAGGCTGGTTAAACTGCCTCAGTCCCACCAGCCCGTAAGTAGTAAAGGAGACAGAACCCGGGGCTGGCTTTGGCCAGTGCTCTTCCCCTCCCCGCTGAGCGAGCCCGAATTTCGGTTCGCTGGAACGAAATCAAGCCTGAAGGGGTTGCAGGGGGCCGGCCTGATGGCCCCTAAAAGCTTCTCAGCTCCAAGCAGAATTTTCCACATGCAATGTTTATGGGCCTAGATACACAATGAGCCTCTGGCAACTGTTCCCATTAGAATAGCTCCTGGCTGAGAAGCTCTGCTCCAGTGACACAGCACAGCAGGGGCGGTACCATGAATCTCGGGGTGCCTGGGGCAGGTATCCCCATCCTTAGTGGTAAATGTGCCAGAATTAGGAGGAATGACTATACGGTTGT